AGGTAGTTGTTTGTGCTCTCATTCATTGGTTGTCTAAGTACCTTTTTGGTTCAATAACTTTATATCTTTAAGGTGGCTGAAGGGCTTTAAATAAGAGGGATTCCTATCCCACAGTATGAACAATAGTAATATATTGAGAAGATAACAGACTGTATTTTTGTTTTATTTTCTTTATATATAGTTAAATTGGATCATTTGATACACTATCTGAGAGTAGAAATGAGTCTCCTAGACTAACCTTTCACCTACCTATGTGAATTTCACAGAACACTCACACCTGACCCAGCACATAGCTACTGGAAGTGCTGGCCCAAACTGAGAACACCAGGCTGCCATCACAAAAGTAGCACCTCACCAATACTTAAGGGTGAAATGTAAAAAAACGAGTCCGTGCTTGGCATCTCTTCTGCTTAAATCCTTATGCTTTTTATTAGAATTATTTCACAGTCTTTCCCCGCTGAAATACAGTCCTGTTTCTAAATCACGACTTTTTGATGACAGAAGGACAGAAAGCACAGAAGCACTAGGCTAAAAAAGTGCCCGTCAAATAAATGTAGTTAAACATAACCTTGATTAACAAATCTTGTTATTCATGGATGACAGCTCAGTTAATAAGTGCTTGTGGCTGGATACTGAACCGGAGGTTAATAGTGAAGTGGAAGCAATTGTAGCATTCAGGTTGTTAAGACAAACACGTATCACACCCCAAAAGGCATGCACGGAATCAGGTGTTGTTAGTTGGCGGTGGTGATGTACTTTGGGTGTTCTCCTTCACTGGTCCAGCTGTGAACGGCACCCAAGCCAGGAAAGGGGAATGGAATGGCCTGCCATGGTTGGTCTGCCCTCCGCCACCATGTTGGTCATTTGAATGACTGAATAGTCCTTGTGGGAGAAAGCGATATATGTTTGAAATGTTAAAGTTTTATTTTGTTCTCATGCTTGTATTTGTGGATTAAATAGATTACATCACTTCCATTGACAGGTCCCTGTTTAACTAATACTTCACTCATCCAGTGTTGCTATGATTTGGTTTGGGTGTGCCCGTCTACTAAGGTGACCAGACGTCCCGCTTTTGGCGGGACAGTCCCTATCTTTAACAATTTTTCCCTGCGTCCCATGGCGTTTTAAAAAGGCCCAGTTTTTTGAAAGAATGCACACAAGCTAGGGTATACAGTTTTCGGCTGCCATGTGGCTATTTCGCCAGAATATGAGTTTTATCAATGGTGTCCCGCTTTACCAATGTTAAAATCTGGTCACCTTAATCCAGACTTGCTGCACCTTTAAATGGAAGTGTGTGGAGTCAGAGTCCCCTTAAACTTAATTTGCCTCCAAAGCAAAATGCATGCGAGAGCTTATTGAAATTGCACTGTTCACTGGACAGTAAGGAATGTTTTCATGCTAAAGAATCTGAAACCCTGGTCGAGTTCTTAACTGACTTCCTTTCCTCCCTGTGGGATGGATAAAAAGCAAGGGGAAGAACATTTTTTTCTCTTTCATTTGCACTGGTGACCAGGTCAGGACTGAAAGTGAGTAAGATGAAGAAATGTATAAGTCAATCATAATCATAAGAGACTACTCAAAGAATGTGGGAAGACAAAGAGACGCTTAAAACATGTAACCTCAAAATTGTTTCTGTAGTCAGAAGCCAAAGCCAGGTGGTGATTTTACCCTAGACTGTGGCCTGGCTGTGTCATGGGTCATGTGCTTCCGTCTGCGAACAGGAAGGTGAGAGCTGGTGAACTTTTGCCTCAGTTGTGCCATCCATCAGGGAATAAATGGACCGGATCAACGTGTGCAGCTGTATACGGAGGTGACTCGCCAGGACCTCTCACACTGCAGCCTTTGTATCCCGGACATGATCTAGCATCACAATGGGATACACTCGGCCGCGGCTGGGTGGCAAATTACTAACCCATTATCACGCCAGAACACCAAATCGCCTCTCTTCTCACGCAGAATGTCACCTGTTCATCATTGACCAGTCAATGACCATTCCGCATACTCAGTGGAGAGTCAAACAAAGCCCCCTTTCTCCACGAAATTCAGTAAACTATTCAGCAATAACAAATAGTCTAGAGTTGTATATTCTTTCCCTTCCCATTCCCAGACTGGAGTCTGCTCCAGTAGGAACTTGACAGGAAATGCCTAGAAATTGATAGGTCAGAGGCCACAGATAGTCTGATGGCAAAGAGCAGCCTCCTAGCACTCGGTCTTGTGAAAGTGAGCAGCCCCGCCGTCCCAGATGCCATCAGAGGAAGCAAAACAAGCACCAGGGAACTTGTGCCCGTGTTTAAAACTCATCCGCCGTGACCCAGTGAGCACTGCGTCTCCTTTTGTTTACAGCCAGCTCTTGCTTGCTTTCTCACCTGACAACTAATGTGACTATTTTTTGAGGCTCCTTGAGCACAACAAATTGTTTCAAAGGCTATAAAACAATCTGAGAGGTCCTGAAAGACCTATTTGAAATGTTATTTTTAGAAGAGAAATTTGAGTAAAATGCATTGAAATGTATTTACCTTGTTACATCTAATCCCTTGGAAAAATATTCTTGTAGAAATTCTTGCCAGAAGCACAATTTCATTTTTCCTAAATACATTTAAAGTATTTGATGAAAGCCAAAATGTGTGTGTGTGCGTGCGCGCGCGCACGCACACGCGCACACACACATGCACACATACACACACACACACACACACACACACACACACACGCTTTCACACACACACGGTTTGAATGGTAGGGTTAGCTTAGGCGGGGAAGGCTGGTGCCTTGATGGGAAAGGACAGGTTCGAGCCCAGTGAAGGCTGGCCCTAGGTTACCAGGGCAACCATGTGAGATGGTATGGATTCACTCCAATGACTAGGTTGAAACAGTTGCGCTGAATCTAGAGGGAGAGGTTAGAGAGAGAAGAGCAGACTGAAGGGACTGAATGTTCAAAGACAGACAGGTCACAGAACAGAGCATGCTGTTCCCTCACAGGCCTCTGCTAGTACATGTATTAACAAAACCTTCTTTTTGAAGAGCTTCAACTGCTAATAGTTCACCTTCTTTCAACTGCCGTATCCTGAGCGGGGCACAGGATCTGGCTGGCTTCAGCCCCACACAGCCTCTCAATCAGGGTGTCTAGCAACTCTGGCCTCAGGGAGCCGAACGGCTACTGAATGCCCCTTCTGCTGACAGCATTATCCCCATACAGAGAATACTGGGTATTTTTGTGCTTTTTTAAAAGCAATCAAGCTCTTTGTTATTATTAATATACACTCAATCATTGGTATGTATGGGAGTTATGTCCCATAAAGCTGTAATGAACACTGAATTAGCAAATGCTGAATTATAGCTTCTAGGGGAAATATAGTATTATAGAGTTTCTCAGCCACTGTTTGCATTCAGCCAATCAATATAAAACCTGGCTTCATGTTGTTTAACATATATTTTTTATTCATTAACACTGAACTATATTTACTAACATTCAAGCTTATGCACCACGCGTTTTCTCTAAAAGGCATACCACAACCTTCTAGCATTTCGGAACACCAAATAGCACTTCGATACTATATTTGGGGGCCACTCTAAACTGTGAAAGTACCAACAGAAAACACAAAAACTGGAAAACATAGCATTAAGTAAGTCATGGGAAGGCCATAGGAGTCTGAGAACCGAAGCAGGGAGGCAGAGTGTCTCTTTTCTCAGTCTCAGCTGAGAAGATGAAGGTTGGGCAATTCAGCATTTTCACATCTCTGCATTTGTCTAGGAATGGCTAGGCACCGAAGTGCCAGTGTTGATTTGGGGGATTATAGGTAAACTTTAGTAAGTAGGCAGATTCTCAACGACATAATTCATAAATAATGAAGCTCAATTGTAATAAGTATAAAATGTTAAAGTACTGTGTCTATATTCATCAACCATGATCTCTGGTTGATCACAAAATATTACAGCTGATATTTCAGTCATGTAAAGTTATCCCCTACCCAAAATTCTTTCATCATCAGTTAACTGACCTGAGACTGTTACCACTGAGCCACTCCACCTGCCTCATCTCTCCTTTCCCATGGCCTTTGAATTGACTGTGACTCATAGCAATCCTACATAAGGTTTCTGAGGCTTTGGAAATCTTTACAGGAGCAGACAGCCTCATCTTTGTCCTTAAGAGTGGCTGGTGGACTTGAACCACTGACCTTGTAATTAGCAGCTCCAAAAGCCTTGGCGATTCTACAGGTTAGGCAGTGGGCAGCTAACTGCAAGGTTGGTGTTTCAAACCCACCAGCCACTCTGAGGGAGAAAAATGAGGCTGCCTGCTCCCGTAAAGATTTACAGTCTTGGAAACCTTGTATAGAGTTGCTATAAATCAGAAATGACTCAAAGGTAGTGGGTTAATAGGTTTGAGAATAAAATCTGCCTAAAAACAATGGGTCTTGTTTTCTATCTACATAGTTCTTCTATCTGTAAACTGAAGAATAATTCCAAAATACATTGAAACTGTTTTTCTTCTCAAAGCATAAGAAATTGTGTCCCGAAGACTGTTCTCAGTGTATTATTCCTACCTACCTAGGTGAAATCTACCTAGTAAGTGAAAAGTAGATTCCTGGGGCACTTCGTTCATGTAATGAACAGAAGAGTAAATAGGAGAAGGATGGTGACAGTGACTGCACAGCATGGAGATTGTCACCCATGTCACATTCTAAAATGTTTCATTGGCAAGTGTTTTCTTATGTCTGTTTTCACCAGAGTAGACAAATAAACATCAGTCAATCCTAAGACATGTTCTCCTGAACGAGAACCTCTATTACAGCTGTGGCTACTCAGAAATCTATACTAAGAAACACCCCATGTAATTTTGATGCACAGAAAAGTTTGAAAACTGATACAGTTGGGATATCATATTAATTTGCTGTTTATGTTTACATCAAAATTTGTGCATTTGATAACATTGTATGTCCAAAGTAGTCACTTACTATAACTTCACTTTGCCTTCCCCTGACCCTTTTTTTCCCCCTCTGTAGGCTATGTGGCTGATGTTACAGAATGATGAGCCAGAGGACTTTGTCATTGCCACAGGGGAAGTCCACAGTGTCCGGGAATTTGTAGAGAAATCATTTCTGCACATTGGAAAAACCATTGTGTGAGTATGGCCAAGACAGATTTATGGTTCTTCAGCAGACTTGTGCGGGCTGGTTTCTGTGGCGAGTTTGGAGATACGCTTGTTATCCTGCCTTGGTTTTCTTTTTTCACTTTCTTTTTTACCTTCACGCTTCGATAAAGGAACCTGGGGAGTTTCTTTGGGGAGTAGGAAGTTTGTTCTTCCCTACAACCAACATCAACTTTATATCACATGTTTCTCACCATGTCTTTTGCTGTGATTTTACTCTATGGTTAATCTTCCCCTTACCAGTGAAATTTTGAGATCAATGTCATAGTGTTAAACAATCCTTTTTAGCACTTGAACTTTTTTTGTTAAAAACAATCCTCAAAGTTCTTAGGAAAAAAGTTTCAGATCCACCCCCAGAGAATCTTCTTTTTCGCATACCTGTTGACCTGATGCCCTGAAAACTTTTTGTGTGCTTGCTACCCAAAAAAGTCATTCTCTTACGCAACCACACAATACAACCATCAAAGGAAGGAACTCACATTGATAAACTGCTACCACTGCTCCTTGACTCTCCTTTGAGCTTTGTCAGTTGAACCAAACGATCCCTTTTATAACTACGTGCTGCATTTACTTGTCGTTATTATAGACATGTTGAGATTTGACCTGGAATATTTGAAAGATTTGTGGTGGGTACTTTGTTCTAAACTGAAGATTCATCTTTAAAACATTAGGAAGGACTTCCACTTCTAAACATGATGGAGTAGCAGCAACCAGATCTTCGCCTTCTCTCTTTACAAACTAGAAAATTAAACAAATCATATACTCCTCTGTGGACAGCAGGCAGTGTTCGCTGTGATCCTTTATAGAAAGGAGACAGCTCAGGGGAGCTCGGCAGTCACCCAGGCTTTCTTCGCGGAGCACATCCTCGACCGTGGAGCCGGACAGGGAGAGCCAAGCAGAGGACAGCTGCCTGGCTGAGTGGAAGAGGCTGAGAGCCGAGTTCAAGGTGAGACAACTTATGGAAAGATGTGATCCACAAGGGAAAAGTGCCTCAGAAACTTGCATGGGGTCCTCCTGCAGAATAATGAAATGCATGGGTATATGGGGAAAGGCCACGAATGTGGAGAAGGAACCACGTGGGAACTGGGAGCTGAATGTTTTTCAGAACTCACCCAAGACTGGAATGCATTCCGTTTTCAACCAGCCATAATGAGGAGGGCTTGATTACTCGAGAAAGTTCAGAACAGATTCCCAAAGGCCTGTGCCTCTGTAACAAGGTAGCTCTTAGATTACAGACTATATGCTAGAGTCAGGCCAACATCATCTCAAGAAAAGCCTCAAAAAGATCAGACCGGACACAATGGCCTACCATTCAAAGCTGTGAACGTTCTTCAAAGGAAGATAATGAATCTCCACACTCAGAAACACTGTTGGTATTATTCAGTAGTCAGTCAAAAATTAGTAGACTAAATATAGTTACAAATTATTGAAGTCAACTATATCTTAGATTATGTTCATACTAACAGTGAACTGTTTTAAGTATCTCACTGACCTGGGTGATAGTGAAAAACATTCTAACATATGAGGGGGCTTCAAAAAGTTTGTGGAAAACGAAATTAAAAGATGTGGAATTTTCTATGAAAACTCTGCATGTGTGTGATTAGAGTTCCAGCAGATTGAGCGGATAGGGCAGTCAAGGGAGGCAGGGAGGCACCGAAGAAAGATCGCATAATGGCTTTTTGTTGTTTCCTCCAAATTTGATGGAAATGATGAAACTACAGATCTAATAGGTTTATAAACCCCAACCCGAGTAAAACAAACATAAAGAAAATCACACCAGGACACATCACAGTCAAATGACTGACGGTAAATGGTAACCAGAAGATTTAAAATGCAGCCAGGGTGGGGATGGGGGACAAAATAAATCACGTACATAGAAAAACAAATATAAGAAAATTTCATGAGAGAAGCTATGCAAGGCAGAAGACAATGAAACCACATCTTTACATTGCTGAGAGAAATTATATAAAATGGAAATGAATCAAAGATTTTTTTCAGACAAGCAAAAGCTGAGAGGACTTCTTGCTGGGAAATGTTCAGGTAGGAAGGAACCGGTGCCAGTTAGAAACTTGGATTTATGCAAAGAAATGAAGAGCAAGGGAAATGGCTGATGTGGTATGAAATTTTGAAAGTGTTTTCTGCATTTTAAAATGTCCTTGATATTAAGTTTCTTTAAATTAACTATTTACAGCAAAAATAATAACAAACTACCATAGAGTTTCTAATATAAATAAGTAAAATGTGTGACAACAGTAGTAAAAAAGTGGGGGAAATGGAAGAATGTAAGCATTATGTTGTTGTAAGATTGTAGCATTAAAAGTGAATTGGCATGAAATCAAATGAAGATAAGCTTCATTCAGTTAAAATTCATACTATACATAAATTCTAGAAAAACCACTCAAAACAAAACAAAAACAGAAGTATCATAATAGGCCAATCACAGAGGTAAAGTGAGATCTGAAATAAATAAATAAAACAGGAAAGGGAGGGGGAATGAGCAAATGACAGATGGAATAGCTAGAAAACAAATAGTAACTATGATGATAATTCCCTATTTGTTAAAGTTTTAAATATTTTAAAAGGGAGATATCAGATGGGATATTTTTTAAAGCAATATACTGTCTAGATTGTGGTGGTTCATTTTAAATATAAAAACACAGATAAGTAAAAGTAAGAAGATGGCAAAAATAATCATGCGAAAGCGAGAGTGGCTATGTTGATTTGGGTAAACGTACCATATATACTTGAACATAAGCTGACCCGAATATCAGCCGAGGCACCTAATTTTACCACAAACCTACATTAAAAATGTGCTGAAAAACTCAGCTTATACTCGAGTATATATGGTAAACTTCAGAACTTATAAGGAAAGTATGAGTGTTTTTTATGATGGCAATGGCATAATTTCATCATGATGGCATGCAATGTTTAATATGAGAGGGCTTTTAAAAAATTCCTTGTCTTTCAATTTAATTTTTTCATGAATTTTTTAAGCAACCTCATTCATATACTTCTAGTTACAATAACTTCAAAACATTAACACAGCTGAGGAATGAAGTAGACAAATACATTGTTAGAGTTGGAAATGCTCACAGTGACCCTGTAGGACAGGGTAGAACTGCCACTGTTTGTTTCCTAGACTCTAACTCTTTATCACCTCTTATAGTCATATTTATGTTATTTAAAATATATTTCCGATGAAAAAGCTGGTCTGACAAAATTCTATCGTGGTATCTCTAACATTGTTTCTATCTCCAAGGTCTTGTTCTCCAACTGTCAATCCTTCTTTGTATCCAACTTTCACATTTCAATCTCCAGGAATTGTCGGTGCATTTTGATTGCTTGTTTGTTCGATTTCAGATGGCAGAAATTGGCTTAAAAAAAAAGTTTAATGTCTTCAACTTTGGCCATAGTGGTTGATGCCAACATTTGAATAATAGTTCTATTAGCTGGTCTTCCTTATAAGGTATATGAATATTTTCCTACCATTGGCAAACTTACACCTCAGGATAGATTCTGAAATGTTCTTACTATGATGGATATGCCACCATTCCTCTTCATAGGATTGATTCAAAATGGTCGATTCCAGTCCATGCTAACTCATTAACGCCTAGGATATTAATCTTTGTGTGTTATCTTTCCTTTTTATGATTTCCAATTTTCTAGATTTATACTTTATGCATTTCACATTCTTATTATCAGTTGATGTTCACAGCTGTTTCTGCTCATTTTGTGGCATACCACATCAGCCGATGAAAGTTGTGCAAACTACTCCAACCTGGGCATCTCTCTCCCGATCTTACTCCTAGTGTCTTCCGACTTGAGGGACTCATGCTCCACTGCTACTCCTAAGGCTTGCGCTGGCCACTTTTCTCAGAAGTTGATCACCTCATCCTCCTGTTTAACCTGTCTTAGTCTGCAAGCTCCACACAAACCTGTCTACCGTGGGTGACCTTGCTGATTTTATTTTCAAAAGGTAACACAGCTTCCAGTACCACAGTGATATGGAGACCACCACACCACCTGACAGATGAGTGGCAGGAATAGCCATTAACTACATCAAAGGATGTTTAGCATAATCAGTCACATGAGAAACACACATTCAGAGTACAAGTTTAAGTTCAAAAGATTGACGATGCTCAGCGTTGACGAGGCTGTGAAACAACCGAAACTGTCCTACATGACTGATGGAAGTAAAACATGGAGAACCGTTTGACTAGCAATTCTACTGATAAAAGACCACATGAGTTAAATTTAACAACATTTTGCATAGTGAAAGAAGTCAAGCACGGAAGATGCACACTGTTCTGTTTGTCCGACCCTCTAGGACAGGCTAACTCAGTAATAGAAAGCACAGTGCTCATTGCTTCTGGTGCCACGGTGGTTACAAGGTGGGCTGCTTGGTGCAAGTTCAGCAGCTCGAAATCACCAATTGATCCATGGGAGGAGAGCCAGGCTTTCTACTCTCTTAAAGAGTTACAGTCTCAGAAATCCACATGGGCCAGTTTTACCCTACCCTATTGCGTTAGTATGAGTCAGAATTAATTGGGTAGCACTGAGTTTGGGGTTTTTGTTCTGTTTGTTTTTCAAGAGGATTGATGATCAGTTTGCCATGACCAGGGAAAGCACAAGGGAACCTTTCAGGATCACGACAATGTGGTCTATCTTTCTGTGTTGCGTTGCTATTACATGGTTTCATGAATCTTTCAAACCTCATCACACAAAAAGTTAATGGAAAAGCTTTATTGTCTTTGAATTTCATTTTCCATTAATCTGTTGAAGCCTCCCTCATACACTTAGTATACATTTAAATCAGTAACCTTGCTTGGGGGGGTGGTGGTATGGAAACCAAGAACTTACGTGGTCATCACCAAGGACATTTGAAGTCTTTGTACCAGCAAGTGCCCTGTGTAGAACCAGATGGGAAATGTTCTTTTGTCATTCAAAATGGAGGCAGAGATCTTTCTTGTCAC